TCTCTCTCAAAAATAAGCATTAAAAATATATATATATTTTTTTTTTAAATTTTTTTTTTTTCAACGTTTATTTATTTTTGGGACAGAGAGAGACAGAGCATGAATGGGGGAGGGGCAGAGAGAGAGGGAGACACAGAATCAGAAACAGGCTCCAGGCTCTGAGCCATCAGCCCAGAGCCCGACGCGGGGCTCGAACTCACGGACCGCGAGATCGTGACCTGGCTGAAGTCGGACGCTTAACCGACTGCGCCACCCAGGCGCCCCTAAAAATATTTTTAAAAATGTCAAAAGATGTTAAAGGCTCTCACATGGGAGTAGTGGTATATTTAGCATCTGTGGATGGAGATAACAGATAATGACAAACGTTATAAATCAGTAACATTTGACACTGTGATTTATTAATCATGAAAGAATTTGCAATCCTTGTAGTCATACATGGAAGATAGTCCGCGTAATTTTCAGTTTTTAGCTGATGCTTGAGTCCATGTGAAATGGTGCATTTCCTGCAAAGCTGTGGTTCTGCCAGCCCACGTTGGGAACTGGTGAGCTGGAGTCTAATGCCACTTGGGGAAGGCTGATCCTTGAAGCTGGCCAAGAAGGGATTTTTGAATTCTGAGACTTCCCTGAAAAGTGTTTTAGTTCTTTTCAGTGGAGTCCTGGCAGGAGCTGGTCGGGCTGGTGAGACGGTGCAAGAATTGAGTTCGCTATTTCGGTTGCCTAACAGATTGCATATCAGTAGTGTGAAAGTTCTAGTCGGCCAGTTGTGAAGGAGAAGATAGAACCTAATTTATGAACTACACAGTACAGACTGTGGAGCTGGCCCGAATGGTGGACTCGTGGAACACTTGTAGGGGCTGGGAAATGGCAAGGAGGTCCTTGTTTCCAGGGGCTTTCTTGTCAGCTCTGAATTACTTGAGAGCCCACGATGCATCAGGCATTATACTAACAATTACTTCTGGAAAATTGTCTCATTTAGTTCTCCCTGTGGCCATGTGGTAGGTCCTATTATTGTTTCTAAGTCACATATGAAAAACCACAAGAACTGAGAAGCTAAGTGTAGGATCGCCCAGCCAAGAAATGACAGAGCTGGGATTTGAACCCAGGATGGGTTCCTTTTGGGTGGACACAAAACTAAAGTGCATCCCACTTTCACCTTTTCACCCATTGTTTCTGGTTAATTCTTATACTTTTTACCTCCTAACTAGAAAACTTTCTGTGACTCCTCATTGCCGTAGGATAATGCAGAAACCCTTCTATCTTGGCCTCAAGGGACCCAACCAAACTGGGTCGTTGTTCTTACCACTTCTGAACGGGAAGCCTTCTTGCTGCTGGACTGTTCTTGGGGTTTCTTAACACAGAGAGCTTATCTCTACATCATGATGGGTTTGTTCATGTTGTTACCCCAGCCTAGGAAGCCCTCCACAGTTATCTCCATTAATTCAGTGGGGAATTCAATTAATACAAGCCATCAGTTGATTCAACAAACACGAATTGCAGAGTAGAGCTGGGCACTAGAGACGTGGTCCCTTTAGATACTTCCACAGCTGGAAAGTCCTGGTCCTTGCCCTTCAGGGACTCATAGCAATAAGATCACTCATCTTTCCAGACCCAGCTCCAACCTTAGCCTCTCCACTGAGGCCTTGTAGGACCACATTAAATAGCAGCCATTTTTGCCTCTGAGTTTTTGGAGCATTTAATCACACACGGCCTTGAATTGATGGTTAACCTTTCAAGTATATTATCCCAACTAGAATGTGAACACTCAAGAAGTGTTTTTATTGTCAATTATATTCTAAATGCAGGATGGGATATTTTATTGGATAGCAAATAAATGTGTGTCATGTGCCCTATGAACATAAAAAAAAAAAGAGGCAATAATGTCTGAGGTCAGGAAACACTCTCAAACCTGGCTAGACTGTTCATTAATTTAAGGGGAAAAAAAAATGTTTTGCATTTCATGAGCTAGAAGAAGACCCTGGAATGTAAGAACAGCATAGCCGTGCACAGGGAGGAAATGACACAGTTCAGGTATTTTCCATTTAACAAGTCACTCGGTGGAACTAATCCACGAAAGGGAAGGGGTCAATTGAAAATCCTCACCCTGTTAAGACACTCGGAGTGCACTGAAGCGTCTCCCACAAAGGCCAGGCTTCAGAAGCAGGTCAACTTCAGAGTAGCAGACACCAGCCAGGCCAGCATCTTCAGCGGCGAGTGTCCCTGACTTCTCTGCCGGACCCTCCACAGCCACCTCACGTCACATGACAAGACAAGCAGGCCACTAACTGGGAGGCGATGCTGTCCCTTTGTCCTCAGTTTCTCCATCTGTAAAATTAAAGGTTAGACTAAATAAGTTTAAAGTCCCTCTTTTTCACGTCATTATGAGTCTTAATAACTGCTCCGATGCGTGCGTTTTGCAATGGTGAGTACGGAACAAAGGACTGCTTGCTTTGTTGTAATTTCACAAGCTGCCACGCGCAGTGGAACATACAGCCTGGCATATTCACGTGTTAACAGTTTTCTTCGAACTTTTCCCTTTGATGATGCTACGAAATAACAATTTTGCTTCACTGAGGATCTTGTTCACTTTTTACTGCTTTCCAAACACACTGCTCTGTTTGAAATGGCCCAGCCCTAAAACTTGCCTTCTTAAATTCCTTCATGTTTCAAGATGAACTCCTGCCAACATTCAGAGCTCCTGCCTCACACAGCCACCCATGCACACCCGGTGGCTGAAAAATAATGATTTTCGTCATTTGAGAACCCACTGTTATTCTAGGTGCTGCAGGGCTTGATAAACATTACCTTTAGTCCTTATAATAGCATTGTAAACATTATTATTCCCATTTTACAGGCGAGAAAATGGGAGACTACAGAATTTAGGAGAGTCAGGGTGAACCAGTGAATGGCATTTGAACTTAGGTTTGCTTGAGGTCAAATCACCACCTTTCCAGAAGCAAAGCTAGAGGAGAGCAGGAAAAGGAGTTCATCTTTGGCACATTCTCTACAAATAATGCTTGTGGAATAATTTTATTGCCACAGTGAAGGCAGTAGGGGAGGCTTGAGAAAACAAGATCTTGGGACGCATGGCCACGGTAGTCGGGAGGAAAGCCTCACCTTCCAGGAACTCACTATCAAACTAGGGGCATAGGCCCTTTCCCCCATCTTTGCCCCCAAACTCATATGCCCGTAGATTTTAGATTCTGGCTGTGCCATTTTCCACTATGCCAAAGGGATGATTCAGAAGTAGCCATTGTGAATGGAAAAAGCTGTTCCCAATGCCTGTGGCCATGGGCTGGGCAGGGACACATGAGGTTGGTGTTCCAGCACAGACTGAGGACAGCCATGTCCTACCCAAACCGGTGGTGAATCTCATTATAAAGTGGAATAAACTTTCCTGCTGTGCCTAGAGCTCTTAATTAGCTGCTTCTGTATACTTAGTTTTGTAGATTAGATCTTCTGGAGTGGGGCTCCTCTTTATTCTAACACATGCAACTTAAAAGTCTGTCTACCAAGTCTTGTCTTAAATCTCTCTGACCTTGCACGACCCTGAGAAAGGTCCCATCAGGGCTGCTAGCATCCAGTAGGTGGGCAGGGAGTTGGGGGCTGGGTGGGAGAGCCAGTCTCCTCACTGAGGCTCCCACCATGACTCATCTATGACTCAGCCAGCGTCTGCAGCTGCTGGAGGGCTTTGTTCCATGAAAAAACTGCTTATGATCCTCACATCCCTTCTTGGCAGAGAGGGAGGCTTTGGTACTGCTAAGCTGGACCAGGAGTGTGGCCTCCCATCGGGGTC